TCGTGGTTGTGATAATGCTTAAAGTCATTGTGTAACATGTGTATAGCTCTCGACACTCGCCAAACAGCAAAGTGCCAAAACACCAAAGAATACGGCGTTGTCGTAACACAACCAGGGCGAGTTGCAAAGAGAAAGGAAAACGTATTCCATTTCCCACATAGCGATTAATGCGTCGATCGATTGAATCGATCCGGAAGAAGTCCGAGATCTATCAACAGCAATTCCTATCACTTATCATCCATTAAACTGTATTAAACCAATAGTCTCCATCTCAACAGTGAGTCAACGTGGTGATTGGTGTCATACGTGTACTAGGGACTTTTCCATTATAAATGCGACATAAAACTTTTTTGCAAGTTTTATTCGTCAGTCGAAACATTTTTATTGCAACAACTCCGTCTTTCAGAAGATGAATAACTCGTGGGATATGTGTGTTAGAGACGCTGTTGATATTCCGACATATATTTCTCTAGAAATATTTTCTATCTTTCATTTCAACACGTCTTTTACTAATTATTTGTTCTTTCTGCCATTTTATCCATTGTATCATAAATTACCTGACACAAGGCCCGCATTCGTGGCGTATATTTACTCCTTCTTAACCGTCGTGTATGGCCCTAAGCACAGCAACTCTTCATCATGAGGCACGCTACCGGGCAGGGCAACACTGCTTGGGGATCTGACCAAGTGGCCTTTGCCACTCGCCTGGATCTAGCGAGCCCCATCAACAGTGTCTTTGCCTTCTGATGGTGCGTGAAGATCGTCGTCGCCCTACCTGTTCGCCATAGTGGAAGTTATTTTAAGGATCGTTGGATATCAGAACAAAACTCTGTTTATTTGATGAAATGTTGTGACTTCCTGCATTTCTAAGTGATCTATGGAATCGTGCTTCTCTTATTCTTCCTCAGTTAAACCTGGCAAAAATTATTGCTCTATCGCCTCCCTTTCGTCCTTAGTCATAATTTTTAGTACCTCTTTTTTTCCTTGCTACATAGGCATCATATTGCATACTGATAATAAACATCATCATGAGCTTATCTTTCTACTGCTGCTTTTTTTCCTACGACATATCACATATGAGCAAAGGAATCAAGTTTCTTCTTGTATTTTTTGTGAAAAGTGAGTTGTCTATGGTTAATCCCTCGGCACAAAGTCGCAATCGAAGCTTGGGCTTCTTCCATCTAATATACTAACTTATCAGGATTACTGTTCCTCGTCTGTTATATCCTTGAACCTGAGTACTGCATAGCACGGCTCTTGTACCTCCTGGTGTTTCAACGATCGGATCTCTAACAGGGCAGGTATGGTACACAACAGGGAAAAAGAGCTCGGGTGGAGTTTACTCGTGACCGCTCGAATTACTCGATTAACGAGATTAGCGATGGCACGGGATTACAAGTAATGCTGACTTATATAGAGTACACAATTGCTCTCTTATTACGTCGCTTGAATAGTTCTCCAGCGGTCTAGCACGTCTAGCATTCGTTTCGGTTATGTCCTGCTTAAAAGTCAGCTGCCATCCATAGAGTCAGTAGGGCTAGTGTTTGACTTCGACTACAACTTGATGAGGATTTGTCGCCTTGCTTCGTCACTAACAAGTATGTTGAAGGTAGCTTTTAATTTACCCAAATAACTGTGACAGCGATATAAAAGGACCGTTTATAGTGAAGTGGTTGTTAATGGTGCACTGCAACACCCACTGGATCTGTCGCTACTTCGATCTCGCGACTCGGGCTCACCAAGCCTTCCATCCCTATTGGATCACCAAATTGGTGGCAGCCTTGTCTCGGTTGATACCTGAGTACACCTACAATACTGATTTTCCACGTTTGATACATCATTAGGCTACCTCTTCACTTTACCTTAAAGCCTAAATATTCTTCCAATCATCTCTGATGATGCTACGAGTGGAGTTGAATGCATGGCTCATTTTAAAAGCCATAAAAATAAAAGGATAAATCTCTCGGCGTTGATCAATCCCTGATGGATAAGCCATGCATTCGACTTCATTAAGTATCGTTGGAGGTGACTGAATGCATATCTGGCCTTTACAATGATTCGCGTTGGCCTGCCGATCTATCGAGTCAGTGCTGTTATTCTCCCAGACAAGTCTAGTACCAATTTGCCAATCTCGGATGGATGGAAAGCTTGGTGGGCTATGGGTGCGGGCCATCAAAAGCGAAAAATCCTCGAGAGTATCCCTCAGTTCTAAGCGTGATGAATTCGGTGAAAGTTTAGGTTTTTCTCGTAACGAAAGGTTTTAGAACTTTTAACACGTTAGTTATAGTGAAATTTAGTAAGAACTATGTCCTTAATAAATCACATGGTGTGAGTTTTTGCATGTTTTTCTAGCAGTGTGCCTATTTGTTCGTTACACTTTCTGATAAGCTGCTTCGTTTCTGTTTAAGTGGAAAGTCCGTTTGATGCAATTTGCAAAACGACCTGCAAAAAATGTCGACACTACGACATGTCGTCAAACGACCGTCTGGTTAGCGCAGTGGTTAGATTTGCAATACGCATATGGTCGTTGATTCGATCATGTAGCGACAAAAGCAAGACCCCATTCTTTTCGGGGTCGGTAGATTGCTACCAGACTTGTTTGGAAAATATTCTATCTGATCCATAAACGTGGGTGGGTGACTGTTATGAGGATCTAGGAGCGCTTTAGTAAAGCAATAAAAGAGTTCTCAGAACAGAACTGGACTAGAATTCAACTGTGTGCATGAAGAGGAACAATATCCTCAGGCAGCAGCCGAACTGACTCACAAAACCGAAGAGTTTCATGCACGTTGGTTACAGAACAACGGCGGACACGGGTCTTAAAAAGCATTATAAATGAATGTGTATATATATACGCATGCTTAGGCATGCAGAAATATGCACATTTGCGTTGTTGTCTGAATGTCAGCGTTTGATCTATCGCCGATCAATAATGGAGCTTCGCGTTGCTCACGTAGTTGTTAATTGTCAGCGTTTATTCTACCACCAATCGATAATGAAGTCTCACATTGTTCGCGTCGTTGTTCATCATCGAACGAATAGTTTTGAACGGTTCTGCTAAGCTGGATGATTAGTGACAGGTTCGTCATTCGTCATATTGAGAAAAGCAAATGCCTTGCTGGCGCTCTTGAGAGACAGAAACTTGGTGATAGGTGTGAACTTTGTAATAAAGTGATATTTTACAACGATACAATAAATGGTAAAAAAATCCTTCATGTTACCGTCGTCTGCTTACTTCGATATGAAGCATCTCTTTCTGGTATCGTTGAAAATGAAAGCGAACGCTCAGCAGAATTCATTGAATATTCATCGATTAGAATACTGTTTCAAATGGGTGCGAGTATCTGTTGGCGTGTGTATGTCTGTGTGACTTATCAGTGATATCAAACACATGGCAGAGGAATCAATGCGTCATCGATTATCAAGGTTCGTCTTACTTTTGTCGACATTTAGACAATCCAGCAGACACTTGCTGAAGTACTCAAGTGGCAATCACAGCTCGAGTGGTTCGCGGTGATTGCTGTCCTCTCTGAGACGATTAGTCGACAATTTTTCGACAATGATATTCGGAACTTTTAAGTCGAACGAATCAACAAGCACCGCCCCCTCCATTCTACAGTATGACTGCGATCGATTTTTAATCGTTTTTGTTGAATTAATTTCGAAACGATATCGTCGTCTAGTGATTCACACACACACGTGCACACATATATTCGGTGCTATTCGATCATACAGTTTAATAAGAACACAATGCCAATCCCTCGGTCCAGGTCAATATCAATCAATATCTATTGGTCGATCCGCAATCAATGGGAGAGTTTCCGAATATTGGCACGGATCGGTTTTATACCACTGAGAAATTCATGTGCATATCGGTGTGAGATTGAGGGAATGGCGCCAGACATAAAGCATATTGGTTTAACCTGCCGTTGTCACTGCGGAGATCTTTGCCCGTCCACCTACGCAGTTTGTAAAGAAATAACAGCGAGAAGATAAGGGTCATGATTTTCATGTCGGCATTTTATCATTTATTTTTTTTTCTTTCAGTTTTCCCAGATCTTATGTTCCTTTACTGATATTCCATTATGAGACACTTATCGGTTATCTACTCTTTTTCTATCATCGCTTATCTCTACAACTCTTAGCTTCAAACGCGATGTGATTTTTGGGTTCTTTTCCCTCTCCTAAACGCTGCAATGGGCTTCCACGACCTAAATTGTCGCGCGCGGCGGCGGCCGCGGCGACGATCTCGTCGTGCACGTCGCCGCGTCGTCGTCGTCCCAAATGGGTACTAGCGCGTCAAAGCTTTATCAGGACACCATCTGATAACACGCTGCGTGTCCTCGTTAACGATGCTCTTTCATCACTTTATCGCCAGTCATCCGTGTCTTCGTCATCGTTTATGTCTCGTTCGATGTTTTGCAGTGGACGCTTGCTAGGAACGAATCGCAACCGTTCTGATCGTAATTTTAGATATCCGTTCTCGTCTTCTCTCCCTCTCTCTCCCAGTGGAAATTAAAGACGAGATCTTGAGCTTGGTGCAATTCACTCAAGGGACCCCACAACCAAAATAATTCAAGAGACGCCATACCAATGAATGAGCGAAAAGAGGGCAAAACGCTGGGAAATATAGATAGGTCGGTTGTGATGTGGACAGCTGCTCAAATATCAAAGAAGTCACCTTAATGAGTTATGCAGGTGCATAGGTAAACCAGAGAACAAGACAGAATGTAAATGCCGTTTATGACGGATGAATTCAATGAGATCAAGTCACCTTACTTTCTAGATATGTTCATTATTTAATCTATGGAACTCGTCTTTATGATCTTTAAAACTCATCCTCGTCCTGCTTGATAATTGATCAGAAACTAGAAATCGAACCTTTCTAAGCATATCAAAATACCGTGCTATAGAATAAAGCTATTGGACCAAGTAGTGAGAAAATGAGGGAAAAATCCGGTTTTAGCGTCAAAAAATATCTCTGAATTGTTTTTCCTCAGATGAACGACACAGACGACATCGTTAAGCGTGCAACGACGAAAATTGAGCCAAATGATAGGTAGGGCCGAAATGAATCGTATTTCACTCATGTTGATTTACACTTTTTTATCTTTTATAAGTTTTTTTCTTATAAAAACAACTCCTTTGTCAATTTTTACAAATAGAGCTTATGAATTCTTCTTTACAACGTTAGTATTGATGGCTTCACTTTTTACGGAATAAGCAAATGTTCCGGTGTAAATGAACAAAAAAGCCGAGGACGACTTGGTAAAATGACATTGAGGAATAAAAATAGGAAGAAAAAGAAATAAGCTGAAAATAGAAAGAAATTTTATGGATGGATACTCACAAGAACTTCAAAGCAACCAGTCGTTTACGTAGGCTTTTAGCCCTTTTGAAAAGCATAATATGCTGAAAGTTTTCTAGGATAAATTTTTTCTGGCATAATGAACAGTGGTGTGAAAAATATCTGCTTAACGTTCTTTCGTTTCCTCTTCACATCGATCTTTCTTTTCAGGCTTACACCCACTTATGACCCATTCAAAAAAGAAGCATGGAAATGTGGCACTACTCAACTGAACGGCGGACATATGATTACTGTAATCTTTATAGAAATTTTGTTTTTAAAAAAATAAGAAGAGAAAACATGTACCAAATCATTTCTGTTGTTGACGCCTACAGTTAAGTCTATTATTTAATTCTAATATGATAATATATGTTGAATGCTTGAGTGCGTCGTCGCGCTTCATCACGCATCGTTGAATTTACATCTATGTAACTGAGCCAATTAATTAAACTGGGGCTACCGTACGCTTATTCGAGCGTACAAAAGGCTTTCTTTGCAGGACCGTCACGGAAAATTCAGGTTGAACAGCTTCCTATTCGGGGAAAAAATTGAAGTTTGGAGTCATTTGCCACGATTTTTTCACGGCATCATTATCAGTGAACCCCTATGAAGATGTTATGTGGAACGGAAAACTTTTCCTTAGAAAATTTCACTATCGATTAAACACTTTATCACATTTGCACACTACACGATCGTTTAAGAAAAGGACCAGACAATTTTTCGCTTAATTAGAATCGATTGATTCGAAGTTAAAAAATCGAGTCGAATTAAACTGTAACATTTAAGACATTCTTTGTAATCGCAAAGAAAAGAGTCGTATAGATAAAAAGTCTCCACTCTTACAAATATTTAATTTCTATCAATATTTGAACACATTTAAATGTTATGCTCTTTCGAATATGCGTGCGATTAGTTTTCGATCCGACTTATTCGAAATCGAATACCAATTGTAACACAAAGCACCACTACTTCAAAGCGTTGTGAAATAAATTTATTTCCTTCAAATTCTGTTTCTGGGTTGACATTTTATTCTTCAGTTATCTCCACCAGCTGGCGATCCGGCCGGCACTCAATCTGAACCGACGCAATCGTCGTCGAGCGCCAGCTCCGATTTGGCAGCCGGCGATGCCGAAGGAGTTTGGAGTGTCGACATCGATCAGGTAGATGGGGATAAAAATTCCAATGGATATTTTTAGCAATAATAAAAAGCAGAGGTTTCAAATTGTTACAGTAACTTTTCATAAGGATATTTTGCCACTTAAGTTAGTAGAGAATGGACAATGATGGTGTGTGTTGTGCAAATCATTGACATCATTGTAGTCATCGAAATCGGTTATTCAGAATTTCGAGTTCCCAATTTGAATCATCTAAGTTGGTAAAAAAAAGATAAAGATTATTTTTAGGCATTTCAAGAAGCGCTGGCCATCTATCCACCGTGTGGACGGCGAAAAATTATCATCAGTGACGAAGGAAAAATGTACGGTAGGTGATGATCATATCATTTTTTTCTTCATTTTTTCATCACCGTGTCATTCTTGTTCATTATATCTTATTCAATATCTCTTTAATCATAGTTCTAATTTTCTTCGCTTTCCGATCCTTTTCTTGGTATTCATGCCTTCAAACAAAGTGCTGTTCCTTTGTGTATTCCACGTAAGCCTCAACTATCACACGGTAGCGAACAAATTTGTCCCTCACATTGAATCTACTCAAGATAACTTTATTTTGGCTTTAAGATTGGCTGCTGCTAGTTATTTGCTTGAATATTTAATTTATTACTTTCGTAATAGCTAATTTCACTTCCATCGTTTTCATCAGGAAGCGTAACTAAGAGTAAACCAATACCAGGATCCACCACCGTCTTGGTATAAAAGTCGCATGGTGGCAAATCTCCCTCTGATCCACAAGGGCTGCGACTGCCTGTGGTAGCGAAGATTTGGGGCAGATTTTTGCCAGGATAACCTCGGGATTCCAGGGAACTACGATGGCTAAAACAAGCAAAAGTCCGAAAAATGAAGATTATGCTAGGGCCCGCATAACTAGTGAGCACAGGCCATTTAAGTATCAACTAAGCATGTGCCAATTAATTTTGCTTTCAAGATATTTTCATTTTGTGCTCTACAAGGTTAACTCCATAACAAAGGAAAACAAACGCTCATAACTTATCCCGATCCTAACTGAGATTATGGAACGAAATAAATCTCTCCCAATCGAAGTGATCGTGAAAATACGGTATTTTTAGTGTTTGGAGGTATTTTTTGTCTATTTACAAGGCTCGTGTGGGATTCGTTTCTTGTTCTATGCGTATTCGATTTCAGACAACATTCTAAACAGTTGTTCTCGATGCTTACTGTCTCTCAAAACGCCTTTGTCTTTTGTCTAGCAGGTTGCAGCTGCTTGAGCTCTTTCTGTCCATCCATCCATTCGTCCATCCATTCATCCATCCATCCATCTGTCCGCACTTAATTCACATGCCGTCCTGCGTCAGGAAGAAAGTCGGCGGCGTTCACTCGAAATCGATCGATCATGCGATTAATAGGGAGTTTTCGGAATCTCTCATTTTTTGTATGTTTAGTGAATAAAACAAAGGTGAATGCTCAGTGATGAACTGTGGAACATTACCTATTCGTTAAGTACGATCTCCATAGAGCCACTGACATCGGCAGTTGGCGTCAGTTTGGCGCTTCGATAACGGTCATTATACATTCATTACTCATTACTTTACTTACTTTTTACATTACTGTTACTAAGGCCATTATTGTTGATGTCCTTACCTCCACACTCTATAATCCTATAAGGGACCACCATGAAGGTGGTCTTCGTGAGCTGGACCTCATCGCAAGCCAAGTGGGCACCAAAATATTTCATATTGTTGTCTTGGTTGCCCAGCGCAGGTGCTCGATACGACGTGTTTGTGCTCTTTATGTGGTAAATGTACTTGTTATCGTATAACTCACTGAGTGCAATCTTCACACGCTGACGCTGGTTCAATCCTAGCTAAGCATGTTTTCCTTCGATGTCTATGAATTGAGATAACACTTTTCTGAGAAGATAGGAACACTGAAATGGTACATCAGAAGGCCATGGAAATCATTGTATAAAACAAGTATACGCTCAGTCACCTTCATAAGCTTACAGATGGAGTCGAGCTCATGGCTAACCTCTTAAGGATTGATCAGATCTAAAAGCGCTATCCTTTATTGTTTATATCCTCGGCTAGAATCATTCCCTGAATTACGCGCAATCTCATTAGTCGTCGGCGAACGTGAACGAAGCAGGCGCCAGCAAATTCTTCTAGTCATCCTTCACCATTGTCCTGTACAATGGTCCCGTTCTTAGTTCGAGATGGACGACAAGCATCTCCATTTTGTTCTTTTGGAATCTTCGTGAAGAGGTCTGATTTTATTAAGTCAATGAATCTATTGTTATGAATGTGGAATGGTGATCACAGAATCTTCTACGTTCATATAGTTAATGTTTGTTTCCAATGTTTTCGATTAAATTCTTCGAATCATGCTATCCGTATAGTCGAGACATTGAACGTTGTTGTTCGAAAATATGTTTTTCTATGAATTGAACTTTGATTTGAACATCCAGAAATAAAATGGAGCTGTTAACTCGTCCTGGATTCCGGATAGTTTTCGCATCTTTTCTCACGAGTTTCTTAGATTTCAACACTGATTGTTTGCATTCACCAAGAGAGATGAGTGGTGGTGTTCTTCGCGAAGTACGGAATGTTTGCTGAGTTCGAAACCGATTTGATCAACTAGGGAGGACTTACTGGCCTCGTAAAGCCTCCAACTTCATGATTTTTTTTGGTTTCAATTAAAAATCTCCTGTTACTTACAGTAAATATTGAATTTATTAATTACTTTCGACCATATATCTCTTAGGTTCCACTATTGGCTGACGTCGATCTATGCGTGTTTTTGTCACTAATGAGGCGTTCTTTACTGTCCGTCTATCTGTCACCATTTTCATTGTGTTGTTATTGAAGACAATAGATGAGCTATATGGATGATTGATGATTGAAGAAATGTTGATCATTTGACCGAGCAGGGAAGGAGGCAGAGGATGCGAGCTATGAATCATTGCTGTTAACTGACAGTTATTGAACCTATAGTAACCTTTGAGAAGTTGCAGATGAAACCTAGATTCCAACAGTGGTGTCTATGCGTCAGTCTATGCCTTATACTAAGCGAAAGAAAGGAAAGCAATCAACTAAACCTGGCTAGGAATAGGTTCAGTTCAGTTCAATTCGGAAATGGGGCTCATACGTTTAGCAGTTGGGTGTAGCCAGCGAACGGAGGCGTCGTGTGGAAAGCACCCAGTGCCTGGCTCGATCCAGCGCCCCGTGCTAAGAAATCCCTATTCCCTGTGGTAGGATTGTACTAGACTTGTCTAGTGTGATAAAAATACTGACGCGGTAGATCGCTGGCTATAGAAAATCATTGTAAATAAAGGATAGAGCTCCCGGCGTCGATCAATCCGCTACGAATGCGCCATGCATTCGTCTTCACTAAGTATCGTTAGAGGAGATTAAATGTATGTCTGGCCTTTACAATGACTTGCGGTGGCCAACCGATGCATGCAGCCAGTACTGCTATCCTCGCCAACAAAAAATATGCTAACAATTTGCCGACCCCAGAGGGTTGGAAAACTTGGTGAGCCTGGGCGCAGAGATCGATCACGTGTGTATTGCAAGGCGCCTCTAACCACGTCGTTACCCGCGCTCGAAAATCATCGTATAGGTTAAATATTCAGACACCTCTACGAACGGAGTGGAAAGCATGGAGCATCCCATAGGGATTGAGCAACACCGACCGCTGAACTTCGTCTTATATTCTTTTTAGCGATCGACTGAAAACGTTATGGTGGTGTTAATAATCGCCGACTTAACACTGTAGTCATAACCCAAGCGTTACTGGTGAACGTCGATTTTTTGTATCTATTTCCACATTCATAAGGAAGAAGAAATTCTCAAGCAGCGGCCGAACTCACATGCAAAAAGTTCGAAGACCTTTGTGGATGATGAATGCGAGGGTACAACTCGAATGGAAAAATTGCTGAGACCAACATGGTAGGGTTGAAGAAGAGTTGTGTGATAAAAAAAATTCCTCAGTGATCAAGTAACAGCTGTTTAAGCATACTTTATACAGTATTCAATCCAATAGCAATGCTTCTTATGATCGCGCAACGTCTGCGGTTATCGATTCGTTCAATGATTTCCTCTTGAACAACACACTTTAAAAGTGTTCTTGTATTCCAAAAAACACTAAGGATCCTGTTGTTCGATGAAGAGCTTTTTTTGCTACTGTTTTCTTTTCTAACTTACTGTGTTCGTTAGCGTTTTGGCGATGATAGAAGAAGACGGATGCTAATTGCATGAAATTCATTCGTTGGTAATGTAGGCGGCTGTCCTCCACTCTGATGCCGGACGAATAAAGCGTCCGAAAGAGAGCGAAGGAAGAGAGATAGAGCGAGTTACCTTTAATGGTGTTGGTTTTCAGCCTAGTAATTTTATTCAAGGTTATTGAGAATCGAGGCTGAATTTCGACTCACTAAATGACCTTGCCTGATTCCTAATGCAAATGCGCCATTTTTATTATGGTTACCGTTTTTTCTTGGGATTGCGGCATTGTTGTCGCAGTATACGGTACTCGTCTATAGTCAATCATTAGTAATTTTCATACAAAAAAGAGCTGCTTTCGCTCTTGGTGACGATTGTCGCATGAGTCTTCATATGAAGTTGGAAAACACCTGCCGCGTCTGAATATCCAACTTCTTTTTGACGGAAACGCACTTCTGATAAGAAAATTCTTCAATATCAAAATGGTGGTTTTTAGAGAATTAAGCGATTATTAAAACAGCAATTTTCGGAAGATATTTGCTTTCATCTGGCTCATTGCCAACAAGAATTCGTTCCTCATTGCTTTAGTATGCTTGTAACGGGCTGTGAGCATTGATTTCAATGCATGACGTCGCGTTACTTTCATTAATTCGTCGACGTTTTTTATCTTCTTTGAAAACTGACGATATCAATGTGACGTCTATAATTTGAACGTTTTCCGTGAATATCGCAGTAAAACTGACTTCGCTTTTTTCACAAAAATTAAATATTACCTACCTATTAATCGTTCTTAATGGCTTAGTACGAGGAAATGCCAAAAATAACCTAGCAATACCATATTGTTTATTGAACTCCCAATAATATTTGCCAGAGCTGTGGTTAGTGATGCGGTCCATCTGGGAGCAAGCTGGTGGTTCGACCTTTCTCCAACGCTCTTCCACAGTCCACGTGGGAGTACCTCTTAGCCCGGCTATCTCAAAGATTGCGAAGAGAATTGACTGGTTTAGAATTCTAGGATATTCATGGAGTGGACGAAATCCTCAAGCAGCAGCCGAAACTACAAGTGGACTTTATTTTGAGTTAATATGTGAAGTCTTCGGAGACCTTTCTGGTTGGTGAACGTGAGGAAAAC